GCAGGGGGATTAGTTGCCGGTGTGTATGGGGCTGGCGCAGGGCTCACCCCGCTTGGCATGCCGAACGGCATCCCCTCTCGTTCCACGAACGTAGTTTTTTCAGTGGTCCCCATATGTTCGGGATAAAGGGTCGATTTTATCGTTCCAAATAGTATCTCTTTCACATTAGGCAGGGTCACATTGGATGTGGTCTACTTCCTTCTCATTTCAGAGTCTTGTGAAATGATGAAAATATTGAGGAGAGGGAGAGCAATATACTACCCCAATTTTCACAAACATGTAAAAGCTGACACCAATTTTCTATCCTACGAAAACAATAACTCAGCCTGGAATAGCAAGAATATAAAACTTCATTTTATTTGCATAAAGAAACTCTCTTATTGTACAGTAAAATTTCTGCGAGAACAATTGATGGAGTAACCGCAATCTTAGACATCTGATAAAACCCCACACAGAAGAAATAGACATCAGCAGGAAAGCTGCCATTTTAAAATCCAGTCTGCCAAAATATGGGTAGAATAAATAAATATATAGAGAGTTCAGCATATGAACCAATTTGTTCACGAAAATTATACCAACAGCTGTTGACGCCAAAAAGTGGTTCTTTGACTTAGAGGGTCAACTTAGTAAATTTGTGTCTTCGGTAGACTTGATGCTTCGGTAGGCTGTGCGATCTGCAATAAAAGCAAGCGCACGGTAATACCTAAGGCACCGGTGTGGTACCGGCCGAAGGCTCTCCGATGCTTAAGTAAGTTCGGGAATAGAAAGTTCAACTGACAGATCAATAGGTTTGTATGCCGTAAGTTCTGATTACCTCCATTTTGGGATAGTTGGCCTCCTTTTATAGCTCTTGGGAGGTGTGCATTTTGTTGATTATTTCGATGTGGGACTGTGGGCGTCGCTTGGGAGCGCGCCACGTGTCCCAGGAGAGGGCGTTGCCCTAATGGAGAGATCGGTAGGTAGGGTGCCGAGGGTACCTCTGACCAAGCCCAGTTTCCTCCACGTGTCTTGCTCTCATTGGCTGTTTAATTTGGGTGTAAACAATTATTATACTATATGTTTTTATACTAATATATAATCAGAAAAGTGGAGAGTGGTTAGTGCCAGAGAATATCCCTCATGCTCCAAGTTTCCAATTCAATTACTCTTGTCCTGCCCCTAGTCAATTGCTCTTCACCTGAAACCAATATAGGCTTTCCACCACACTTGTGAGTGGTCATCAAGAGTATTAAATATTATAAATACAATAATATAATAAACAATTAAATATGTACACCAAAACTAATCATGTAATAATATAATATATAAAGTAACCAAAAGCAAACAACAAGCGATTGATAAGGATATGGTCTTTGTCCATGCTCCCAATTGCTTTCTTATCTGCCACAATCATAATAATAAGTTCCACTAACTTTTTATATTCAACAATGATATTTAAATAATATAGATATAGTGATAATAAATTATCAAGATAAAGGAAAAGGTAGTGGGCTTATGTTTTTCGGTGGTTTTGCTCGTATATCTCTCTAGCAGACCATAGCTTCTCTACTACTTTTCTTCTTGAGAGCTTCTCGTGTTGATAACGTATTGTAGAATGGATGGAATATGCTAGAATATTGAGTTGCACGTAAAGTAAATAAGACACAATATTTAACGAGATTCGGTCATGCCTACGTCCTCGGAGAATAGCAGCAGTAAAGTTTCCACTATTTAAAATAATAGGGCTACCACTTTAGTGTTTACAATATATGTGGCTCACTGATTTATCTCTGTGATAATAAGCCTAAAAAGTAAAGGCAGTTGTGTGGATGATAAATTCGCGCCACATTATTAAATAAATACTGTTGTAAGGGTAATAAACCTATACCATATAGTAAAGGATATAATCACCACTAAAAAAATAGGATGTGAAACCGTCTATTAAAAGCACACTAATAAAATTAGTATATACTACTAACTTTGCCATAATAATATTGTATATATTATTATACTATATGTTATTATACTAATATATAATCAGAAAAGTGGAGAATGGTTAGTGCCAGAGAATATCCCTCATGCTCCAAGTTTCAAATTCAATTACTCTTGTCCTGCCCCTAGGCAATTGCTCTTCACCTGAAACAAATATAGGCTTTCCACAACACTTGTGAGCGGTCATCAAGAGTATTAAATATTATAAATACAATAATATAATAAACAATTAAATATGTACACCAAAACTAATCATGTAATAATATAATATATAAAGTAACCAAAAGCAAACAACAAGCGATTGATAAGGATATGGTCTTTGTCCATGCTCCCAATTGCTTTCTTATCTGCCACAATCATAATAATAAGTTCCACTAACTTTTTATATTCAACAATGATATTTAAATAATATAGATATAGTGATAATAAATTATCAAGATAAAGGAAAAGGTAGTGGGCTTATGTTTTTCGGTGGTTTTGCTCGTATATCTCTCTAGCAGACCATAGCTTCTCTACTACTTTTCTTCTTGAGAGCTTCTCGTGTTGATAACGTATTGTAGAATGGATGGAATATGCTAGAATATTGAGTTGCACGTAAAGTAAATAAGACACAATATTTAACGAGATTCGGTCATGCCTACGTCCTCGGAGAGTAGCAGCAGTAAAGTTTCCATTATTTAAAAAAATAGGGCTACAACTTTAGTGTTTACAATATATGTGGCTCACTGATTTGTCTCTCCTCTCACTCTCCCTCTTTCTTCCTTCTCTTCTTTCTTCTCTTCCTTTCTTTCCTCTTTACCCAGGCTCTCATTTCTTCTCAGATGGTCTATAAAACACAAGGGAAGGATGAAGCCTTTTTATAGGCAAAGTTGATAGCTTCCCATGGATGTGTGATTGGTTCTCAAGGGAAGATGACAGACAAACTTCATCATTATTTTCTTCTTTTTTTTTATGTTGTCTCCACCACATTCTTTACAACAATTGTATAAAATTTTCTTTCATAAGTATCAGTAATAGAGTCTCAGTTATTTAGCATTCCTGACGTCAAAAAGTTATTTTGAATTAATGGGACGTATATCTAGAGGGATGTATATCTAGAAGGATGTCATAGGTAATAGCTTGCGTCATATGTGAAGAAAAAGATGGAGCCTTTTGTTCCCTTCCCTATAAAAACAGAGAAGCCACAAAACAAAACACAACACTCATCAACACCGATTGTTACTTGTTACTTCCCTTCTCTTGAGGGCTTTTCATTTCAACCCGAAAATCAGAATGAGCTGGTGGTGGGCTGGAGCTGGTGCCGATGTCAGGGTAAGAATATATTACCATAATCTTATCAAATTAATTTGATTAATATGTTTAGCTAGCAACAAACTTATGTTTTCTTGCGTTTAAAATGAATTTTTCAGAAGAAATATCAAGGAGTTGACACGTCAGCACCACAAGGCCAAAGGAATGTGGGGCTAGTGATCGGCGTGACAGGCATAGTGGGTAACAGCCTAGCTGAGATCCTCCCTCGCCCCGACACACCCGGTGGCCCGTGGAAGGTGTACGGCGTCGCCCGCCGTCCCCGTCCAAACTGGAACGCTGACCATCCCGTTGACTATATCCAGTGCGACATCTCGGACCCCGAAGACACAGAGGCCAAGCTCTCTAAATTAACCGATGTCACGCACATATTTTACGTGTCATGGGCCAACAAAGCCACCGAGGTCGAAAATTGCGAGGCCAACGGGGCCATGCTCCGCAACGTGTTAGGTGTCGTGATCCCTGTGGCGCCAAATATCCGCCACGTGTCGTTGCAGACTGGCACCAAACACTATCTTGGTCCGTTCGAGTCATTTGGCAAGATCAAAGCCCATGACCCGCCTTTTACTGAGGACCTGCCGAGGCTGGACTTTCCCAATTTCTACTACACTCAGGAGGACATATTGTTTGATGAGGCTAAGAAAAAGGAGGGTTTGAGTTGGTCGGTCCATAGGCCCAATACCATTTTTGGGTTTTCTCCTTATAGCTTGATGAACGTAATTGGGACGCTTTGCGTTTACGCTGCTATATGTAAGCATGAGAAGAAGCCTTTGAAATTTCCCGGAAGCAAAGCGGCTTGGAATTGCTACTCGGTGGCTTCGGATGCGGATTTGATCGCGGAGCAGCATATCTGGGCGGCTGTGGATCCGTATGCAAAAAACGAAGCGTTTAATGTGAACAATGGGGATGTGTTTAAGTGGAAGCATGTTTGGAAGGTGTTGGCGGAGCAGTTTGGGATTGAGGAGTATGGGCTTGATGAGGAGGAGGGTGAGAGGAGGTTGAGCTTGGTGGAGATGATGAAGGGGAAAGGTGGTGTGTGGGAAGAGATTGTGAAGAAGAATAAGCTGCAGCCAACAAAGTTGGAGGAGGTAGGGGTTTGGTGGTTTGCTGACATCGTGTTGTGTGTTGAGTCTGCGTTGGACAGTATGAACAAGAGCAAGGAGCATGGCTTTTTGGGTTTCAGAAATTCCCAAAAGTCCTTCACTTCCTGGGTTCAAAAGATGAAGGCTTACAAGATTGTTCCATGATGCGTGAGTTGTGTTTGATAGATCTAGAGAGGGAAACAGCTTATGTATACAAATAAGTAGAAGAGAGTTTTCTTATTTTATAAATGGTTTATTAGTACTTTATGCTTGTAAAAATCTGATCTGAATGTTACAAATTATTTAATAAACAAACCTTCCCAATCTAAGAATTTACTGGCCATGCTAAGCAATTAAAACAAGATCAAAATAATGGTTAACAAATTGAGTACACGTGCAATGGCATGTTGGGTTCTAACTTTTTTAATCCCACTAAAGAAAACACAAACACAAACTTTTATTACAAATTCATGAGAAATTATAAAATACTACGGTAGTATATCTTGCGCACATGTGTTATAATATAATGAATATTTATTGATATTATTTCATAAAAGTTCCTGGGTTCAAAAGATGAAGGCTTACAAGATTGTTCCATGATGCGTGAGTTGTGTTTGATAGATCTAGAGAGGGAAACAGCTTATGTATACAAATAAGTAGAAGAGAGTTTTCTTATTTTATAAATGGTTTATTAGTACTTTATGCTTGTAAAAATCTGATCTGAATGTTACAAATTATTTAATAAACAAACCCTCCCAATCTAAGAATTTACTGGCCATGCTAAGCAATTAAAACAAGAACAAAATAATGGTTAACAAATTGAGTACACGTGCAATAGCATGTTGGGTTCTAACTTTTTTAATCCCACTAAAGAAAACACAAACACAAACTTTTATTACAAATTCATGAGAGATTATAAAATACTATGGTAGTATATCTTACGCTCATGTGTTATAATATAATGAATATTTATTGATATTATTTCATAAAATGAGGAAAATAAACCATATTGTCCGCTTATATTATAATATGTGTACAAGATAATAACCACGTAGCTATACTACCGTAGTATTATATAATTTTCCAAATTTACAAACAGTCTAAAGATAAAGACGAAACATAATTAAGTTCGACCAGAGAAAAAAAATGAAACATAAGTCTTTATTTTCTGCAATACAAAAAAGATGAAACATAAGTCTTTATTTTCTGCAATGCAAGAAAACCAGAACCAGTCGACGGCAACAAACAGTTTCCCAATTTTGAGACCATCTCTCAAGGCACAATCTTGAAAGCTTTGTTTTTATCAAGGGTAATGCTAGGCTTACCACATTTTTCATACCACATTCATACCACCTCTTTAATAGAGGTGGAACCCACCATGCAAGAAAACCAGAACCAGTCGACGGCAACAAACAGTTTCCCAATTTTGAGACCATCTCTCAAGGCACAATCTTGAAAGCCTTGTTTTTATCAATCCATGAAACAAAGGACTTCCTGGAGTTTCTGAACCCCAAAAACCCATGCTCTTTACTCTTATTCATGCTAGACATGAGACCTTCCCCACTGAAAAACAAATCCATCAGCCACCACTGCCCTATCTCCTCCAACTTTGTGGGCTCCAGCTGGTTCTCCCTCACTATCTCCTCCCACACACCCTCCTTCTCCTTCATCATCTCCAACCATACTAAACCCCCCACCCTCCTCATCAAACCCATACTCCTCAATCTCAAACTGCTCAGCCAACACCGTCCAAAACTGCTTCCACTTAAAAACATCCCCATTGTTCACATTAAACGCTTTGTTTTTCGCATTCGGGTCAACCGCCGCCCATATCTGCTGCTCCGCGATCAAATCCGCATCTGAAACGTCCGAGTAACAATTCCAGGCCTCTTTGCTTCCAGGAAATCTCAAAGGTTTCTTCTCATGCTTACATATAGAAGCGTACACACTCAGCATGGCTACAATGTTGACCAAGATGTAAGGAGAAAACCCGAAAATAGCCCCCGGCCGGTGCACCGACCAAGTAATATTCAACTCCTCTTTCTTCCCCACCTCTTCAAACAACACGTCCTCCAGGACGTAGTAGAAGTTCGGGGTGTTCAGTCGGGGCAGATCCTCCAAACAAGGAGGCTCCTGGGGCTCCAGTTTGCCGAACGACTCGTAGGGTCTGAAGTAGTGTTTGGTCCCTGTCTGCAAACACACGTGGCAGAGGTTTGGCACGTTCGTGAGGACGACACGTAGCACGTTGCGGATCATGGCTGCGTTTGCCTCGCAGTTTTTGGGCTCCTTGGATCGGCTGGCCCAAGTGACATAAAAGATGTGGGTGACGTCAGTTAATCTGGAGAGCTTGGAGACGGTGTCGTTTGGGTCCGAGATGTCGCATTGGATGTACTCCATGGGGTAGTCGCT